CCCCCCCCCCCCCTCCCTCCTCTCCTTTTACGCCCCGCCGTCCCCCCATTTGGCATACAAAACAAGCAACACCAATAATACCCATGCCTTATGTTCGAGGTCTTACCGTCCATTAGCTGACATTACCATATACTACATTTCATCATGCAGAGTACTCGAGGGTGAACCGACCCTACCCCCCCCCCCCTTATAGAGGCTGTTTAGACCCCCTTATAGGCCCGTTTTTCAGGCTCCGTAAAGCCCCTTCAAGACCCGTATAGACTCGTCTAGACCCGCATAAGATCATTCCACTGGACTATAAGAGCAACACCGAATATCAACACGCAATTTTCCCTTTTTTTTCTTTTTTTTGCAATTTATCCCTGGCCCTATTTATCGCCGAAGAAGACGATATTCTACCAAGCATGGCTGCCCTTCTTTTTTTTTCCCCTCCTCCTCCTCCTTCTCTTCCTCCTCCTCCTCCTCCTCCTTCCCCTCTGTGTCTGCGAGAAGACATTACGAGTATGTATGTGGTCGTGGTATCAGCCTATTGACCCAAGAGCGGCGACTCCTACGTAATAGCACTGCACAGTCCTGACCAATAGATAAGAGCCTCCGACAGCATGCAAACCTACCCGTCTTCACCCCAATACAATGCACTGTCATTATATCTGTATGTATCTGGGGCAACTTTTGAGTCTAGATACAGCAATAATAACCGTACGTACTATTCGGGTGAAGACGGATAATTGTCCCATGCAATTCTAGTGTGTGATGAGACAGGAGCCTCTGACAGAATGCAATTTCCAGCAGGTCGGCAAACCAGGCCACACTCCGGGGGAAAAAAAGAAAAAAAAAAGGCCAGACATATTATAAATAGAATATAGTAAGATATTTTTCTTCTTCTTATATTTAAAAAAAAAAAAAAAGTGCGATGTATGAACAGAGTAGTGAATCCCTCCACCAGAGGCAGACACTCAATACTGCTACTCTCTACACGGGAATTCAAAATCCATTCCGCCACCAATCAACTGGCCTAAGCTCAGTCGGTAAAACACCCCTGAACTGTTGAAAATCGAAATACAGACCCGAGTTCGAACTCCAGTGGAAGCAGACAGATGAGTGAAATACTAAAATTCTAGTGGAAGCAGAAAGATGAGTGAAATACTAAAATTCTAGTGGAAGCAGACAGATGAGTGAAATACTAAAATTCTAGTGGAAGCAGACAGATGAGTGAAATACTGTTGAATTCTAAATTACCCGAGTTCGAACTCCGGTGGAAGTAAAAAAAAAAAAAAAAAAAAAAAAAAATCCAGTAGAAGCAGATGAGTGAAACACTTGAGATTTCTGGTTACCTAGAGAGGGTCAGTTCAATGATGATATTTCAGGGCCGTCGCCCTTAAAAAAAAAAATAATAATAATAATAATCGAATGAATGCGGATAGAGCCAAGCAAGAAGATTAAAAGGCGATAAATATATGGATATATTCAACACTGGCTAATTTTTCATGGACAACAACCAAAAAAAAAACTAAGCTATATTTTTTCGCTCAAAGCCACTTTCACTAGTTTTAAAATGGGCGGGAGTTCGTTTGGTTGGTTTGGGGGGGAGGGGGGGTGGGGGAGTGGTTGCATATAGGACCTGGCGGAT